CAGCCCAGAAGACAGCCATCTTCAATCCCAATAAATTTCGTAGTTGTCCTCGGTTGTCACAAAAGGAAACTGAAATGCTTGTCGATTATATCGACTCATTTAAAGAGCAGATAATCTAAGTCTGCATTTTCACCGACAGTAATAGACAGACCGCAGGCTTGTAACTGCCGGCCACTAGTCCACTGCCTACGCGCGTGTTCGCCGCTCACAAACTAAAAATAACGCTGATTTCAACTCGACTTTACTCGATGGCGGAGTCAAACTCAACTGCCTAATTAACGATCATTTAAATTATTTGAAATATTTTATAAATTACCTTCGATGTGGGTTAAACACATTTTACTTCAAATTCAGTTTTCAAAATTCATCAACTGTCTTTATAATTTTTTTAGATATGTGGATATTTTAATTTATGTACTGTCTGTTTTTTATAAGTTCTAATAATAGCACAACTGCCAGTACAGTTATCGTTGTTTTAAAATAGGACTTATTCGTTGCAGGAGAAGGCTAGAAAACAAATTATGGAAATATCAGTGTTTCAAAATTTATTACAAAACTTTACGGTTAAATAATTGCAACGCATTCCAGCAGATTACATGGAATATTCCATACGATCATTCAATCTAGATCAGGGTTTCTTAAAAGATTAACACCTGCCTTCACATTCTTCCTTTTTTAACGATTTTCAGGCGTCTGTGATGTAAATAGGGTAATGTATTAAAATCTTACGGAAATTTATTAAAAAGATGCTTATTCCAAGAGTTTCAACCTGTTATTCAGTTATTTTCTTAACAAAATCAGTCAAAAGTGAAACATATGACAATGATCCCGATTTATCGATCTTTTATTATTATGTTCAATATCTGTGTTTGCGATTCGCCTACGCTCCTCCAAGCACTCACAAGTAAGACGCATCCTAGTACTTGATTTTAAAACATACAAAGTGACACAAAAATGTACGCGGGCCCCATGAAACATGTCGGCAGACCGAGGGTTGAGAACCCTTGGTCTAAAGAATATGTGAAATCAAATGTCAATTCATGACATTATATGAAGTGAAACTCGACTAAAATAACTAGTTAAAAATCATCTTCAAGATCACGCTTTGATATTAGCGATGTTGACAAATCGGGCTTATTATCAAATTCATAATTTTGGAACATTACGTAAGAATATATTATGTAATGTAATTTTTATTCGGCAATAAAAGAAGTTCTCATACGTTTAAAACTGAGAAACGTTTAGTCAGACAGCACAAAAACGTTGAGAATATTTAGAAAATATAATTACGAGGTGCAATACGCCTCTGACAGAACAACTAAGCGACTGAAAAGAATGCCTCTGGTATATATACATGCCCTCCTATGTTTTCAAATAAATGAAACCAGTTTACAGGATTCGTGCTCAGTCGTGATAAAATAGAAACATTAAAGTGTCCTCCTGTCTAAAGCTGCAGTAAACGAGCTGATAGCACAAATTAAGTAAGAGCTCCGCCCGCCCGTATTACGTAGAAAAATTCATGGAATCGGCCGCCTTCAGCAGACTTCTGTAGAAACTTGTTATTCTTGTTCTCGCGGTAACATCGCACTGGAGTAACGTCATTGCTTACACATCTTCAGTGAGCTGAGACAGTTTCAATAGCTGATGCTTTTATATCACAAAGTGTGGCGAAACAAAGCCTCATTGAGCTGAAGTATCTATTCGTTTCTGACGTTTATCCCCAAATCGTTCGGTTGAGTAAGGGTCTAAATTTTGAGATATAAATAAAAATGCTTTCATCCCTAACTCCCTAACTACGCCGAACTGAAACAAACTTTGTGGTGTGCGATATCTTCCCTTCGCTTCGTAATCATTTTTTGAACTTAGTTAGGATCGGCTGTGCTGATTCACATTTTTCCGCAGACTACATTTTGTGGAGGCAACTTACATCCCGGATAAGATACCCTCTTCAAATATTCTGCTGGTTATAAACTCTCCTAGTGAGGTCTGTCATGGTTTCACTCGATCTATCCAACAAATTGGCGAAACAGAACCAACGCCCTGAAACAGTCCACGGCAGTTTCCTTCCCTATCCCTCTCAATTTATCATTAATAGACCTCGTCCCATTGTCCCGGTATATCACTTATGTAATTCCAAAAGCGTCATTAAGCAATGTAAGTTATCAGTCAATTTAAATTCTTTGATCTGATGTTTTACCAATGTTATTTCACGTAATGAAATTTAAAGCCCTTTTATACACGAAGCTCGTTTAATAATTTAAGAATTCAGTCCGTGCCTCAAAGAGAACATAGTACTTCTCAACCAATAATATAACTTGGTTAATTCTGTGTTTTTTTTGTTTATTCGTGCAAAACAAATTAACAGTCTACACTCTGTGGGTAAAATTTTGAGTTACTAAAAGCAGGTGGTATATAATATGCTCAAGACTTCAAAATACAACAACATATTTTACGAGAACAGACGTTTTTAATTTCTTGAAGTGTGAATAAATCCGTATAGACAGGGATATCTCAGTCAGCGCATCGACTACGCCACAGGCAGGATGACCAAGGTTCGATTCTTCTGTTTAATAAAGCACAGGAATTTCGTAAAAATTATCAAAGCTTACAAAAACATTTGATGGAGGATCGTGCAGCGATACCCCCGATTAGGCAGTTACGAGAATACGCTCCTCCCTGTCATGCAACAAAACTGAACAGCTTTGCTTGTATACTCAATCCTCTTCAGTTCTTGGAAAATGCACTCACATTTACGTTAATAGAAACGGTATGTACTATGCTACAAGCCGAATGTCTGTCTCACGAACTAATCCGGAATCTGCAAAGCAAAAGGAAACGCGAGCTCACTTAAATTCTCTTCAGCTGACTTGTTCATAAAACAACCGAGGAACCAGCTTAACACGAATTAATTACGTGACTAAATGGGATTTAGGGCGGCAGACACGGCACTCGATGAGATCACATGATGCCAAGAATTGCATTTTATTATTATGAAGCAAATTTATTATAACTTTAAAAAATAAAGCATTTATCCTTTTTTGTCTATGTTAAATAAGGTTGAATTTGCACAAAATCATAACCAGTTTAACATATAATGTTCTGATGTACAGCGTAGTTAGATTCGCAATTATTTCTTCTACAGTGTTATTTCAAATACCTCGAAACACTTTGAAAAAAAAAATGTCCCAAGTTCTTCAGTTTACCACATCAAGTGTGCCCCTTTGTCAACACGGCATGACGTAACCTCAGGCTGGGTGTGGAGTCGGCCTTCAGGTGTGGAGGACAGCTGCGAAGATATTGAATAGGCAGTCGCTGACAGCCGACAAGGGGTGGACTTCCAGCTTGGGGGTTGGGCGGGGGTCTAAAAACTTCCCACCATAAACAAACAGAATTAGGGTCTCAGACTTGGACATTTAATATTAACAATTTTTAAAATACTTCTCAAATACGATAATTTTTGTCTCATCGCTTCTATATTTTTTCTCACGCTTCGTTCACGTATTTCACTCGCTTAGAATCTAATTCAGTCTTCTCACCATCCAGCAGTAATTATTGGTAACTTAATTTTCGCTCAGCTGATTAATAAATTCCCGCCGTTTATAAAACCCGAATATTCATGACGATGTTCACACAAAGTCTTCCCTTCGCCATCCAAATTTCAGCCCTATAATCAAATATTGGAAGCCACAAAAAATTATACCTAGAATATAGTCTACCAGGCTGGCGAAAGAGACGCTGGCAGCCATGAAGGATTTATTAAGACGTGTTAACTTTTAAATCATATATCTCGGTTTGAGAGAAACTAGAATCTCATTCGGACCTACAAAATAACCAACACGTCAGGAGAAATTTAGCACGTCCATAACACGAAATTACTTTGCTCTGAATACTTCCAAATCAGTAATTAAATAACGTAGCAATGCTGGAAAAAGGTAGTACCCAAACATTTATTTCATTAAAAGATTCGATGATCAATTTTAAGTCAGAACGTAAAACATTGTTTGTCCTTGTGAAAGTCAGAGAACGTTGCCCGAGTTCTATATCACGTGCTGCCCAGAAAATAAACAATAGTCAAGGAGAGAAATATTTGTAAAGGTGTTAATGACTTCGAGTACCTCAAAACTACGTACAAGAAACAGTTTGGATTTATTAAAGGGACCTGATGATAAAATCTGCAGTGACATTACAACTTTGGCACATCACACACACACATTCATAATTCTTGGCAAGTCACTACTGAGTCTTGCCAATTGTATTCCATCTTGTTCTTCATCTCTTTCGACAGGCGTGACCACTCAAAATGACTTAACTAACTAGTATTTGATTGTGTTATGATGAATCGTCCTCAAGTTACCGGTCCTTAATTTTAACCTTTCGACGCCCGAAATTAATCTAAATAATGTTTAAAGCTCAGCTCTCCTTTATTCCAGTTTATTAATTCGGTGCAGGGAAATGATCGATTTTTATTGTGATATGAGTTTCTCACAGCGACGAGTATGAAAATATCTGCCTTTTGCGATGTCGCGCCGTGTAGTCTGGTAGATACTGCCCGACGTTCTAGAGATGCTTACTACCGCTCATAACCCTGATGGTGGAGGCAGAAAACAGCTGAATACACTAATACCCCAGTTCTTCAAGATCCATATTCCATTTCCTCCGAGATTTTGCAAGATTTCTTAACCTCCATGTTTTCTAATTAAATTTTATAGTATTGCTACTATCAAAATAAGCCTTTAAATTACATAAACAAGTTTAGGATTTCCTTTTGTTTCCCGATTTCTTTCATTCTTCCAGATACAACGCCCCTATATTATCATTTCACTGTCACGTTAAAATTCGTCTCAATTCAATAGCTTTACATGAAGACTTGTATAAACAAATTAAAGATTTCGATTAGTGCTTCAGAATCGATTAAGCTTTCACTCTAAATGAGGTGTGTCGTTCAGCGGACAGGAAGAGAATAGGCCAACATGACAAGTTGAGAGTCGTCTTGTCAGCTCCAGATTAAGTGCTAAAGAACAAGACAATTTTTCCGCTTTAATTCCAGTTAGAATAACCACGTTTAAGTCTGAGGCCCGCCCAACCTCTTGTCCAACGGGCATCAGGTGGTCCCTTCTCTGGGGGTAAAACGTGGCCGGGTCGTGAAACTGACCACTTACCCCTGTCTAGTGCCGAGGTTAAGAATGAGTTGGAGCTATATAACCTCCCCCCTCCCCCCCAAGCACCTACATGGCGAGTAGTGGGATAACTTTATCTTTTTTTATATAAACACGTTTAAGACGACTTTCTCAAAATAGATCCAGATCGAACGGTAAAAACGAGTAATTGGCAGAACTCCCAAAGCACGTCAAATCGGTTGCCTCCCTATGTCTCAGGGGTTCACACAGCCCTGTTCCACCTTAAAAGAGTACGAACAAACCCATATATGACAGAAGTAACTTACATAGCACCTTCATTATCAAATGGGACCTACAAGTGAGTGGATGAGAGTGAAATTAAGTTACTGTTTGATTATTATTGTACAGAGATACATATACAAGTTCCTGTATTAAATTATGATATTAATGATTCATATCTTGTAACAACGCCCACGTTCATTATCTTGTCTCTTTAGCTAATGCAAATGTCACATCCCGACTGCCGTATGAAACTCCATGACTTGCCTGGACTACTTATTTTAGACATTTCATCAAATATTCGTAACTTCCCAAAGAAGGAAAGTGCTTTTCTTAATGACTTATTTTTATCAGTTTCCAAACTTAGACATTTTGCCCCGAAACTTTGGTGTCAAAATTATTTAAAGTTTACAGACAACTTCTTTCCTTCACTAATTCCCTGACCAATGGATATGGTACATTGACGTTTGGTTCTGCGTACAAATAAATATATTCTGGATCAAATTCTATCAAGATTCCGGCAATACTGCTGCCTTGATATACTATACAAAAGTCCATATACGGACCATAATTATGAGGCCGCTTGTGTCATCTGTCGGACAAATTACGAAACTCGTGTTAACAACGTCGTCTGCTCTGAGCAGCATCAACTATTGTTGCAGATTAAGTCCTCAATGGCCGATCATTTAACATTTGTTCAAAATAATTCGCATCATCAAACAAAAAAATGACTACAAGGATATTTAATCTTGTCTTCGTATTATGTGCAGAGTAAATCTTGTATAAAGCAATTTGCAACTGTTCCATGAACAATGACCTCTTGAAAATAATGAGAAGAGCGATTTATTTTAAGTTTTATGACTTAGTTGTAAAAAAAATACAAAAATTAATTCCCCTTGTAGAAAGCTGGTTAAATATTTCGAATTTGAAAAAACAGGAGAATAAAATAATATCCGAAACATTAAGCCGACCGCTTTCAATACATGCAGCCATATTTCCATGCTTTCCAGATGGTTCAGTGATGTTTCAAGCCACAACTTCATAACTATTGTTGTAACTATATTATTATTATTTAGTGTTCTGTCTGACGACAGGTCCATATGAACAGGATCCTTCCATCCTTTTCTCGGACTGGGACCTGTTCATATACGTTCTTGGCAGATGATCCAGAAGTGGTTTGCCATTGCCTTCTTCTGTGTGTGAATGGAGTAATTGTTAGGAGCCCCCTGAGAAAACTCCGTGTTGCCTAGACCACGGCCTTGCCCAACACAAGTTATAAATTCGGGCACCGCCGGATTACGAGGCCAGCGTTCTAACCGCTAGACCACTATATCAATAATAATTACAGTCCCAAGACCGAGAAATGAGATCCACACTCACAGAGAAAAGGATTACGTTTTTTTTTCGCCTAAAACACGAAATAAATAAAATTACTAAGCTCGGAAACACACTTACTCTCACAGCATCCTGATAATCTCAGACCCATTAATTTATGTGAGCAAGCGTGTTTTAGTATGAAGATAACGTCATGAGATGTTCCATCCCATCGTGATCTGAAGCTTTAGATGCGTCAAAGGGTAACATGAACACACGACAAGTAAAAATAAATACGATTTTTATCTTAAGTTAGAACACAAGTGGTTCTGTTTCCGTGTGCATTATAACATTTACGCTGATCGCTGGACAGAAGATATTAAGCAAGACAGGCGCCAATCTGCGTGGAGTCCTGAACAGATGAAAATGACTGCTCTATTTTTGGAAGGATCACACGACATGGAGCTAAACTGTGGCCAAAACCCTTCTCCAATTTGGCTGACTGTCAGGAGCTTTGAAAATACGATCTTCAACTGATTCTCTCATGTCGTATAATAACCTGTCTGTTTTTTGGTTGTGAAATATGCAAATATATTGATACGCAATAAATTCAGATCATAATAAAAGCAAATATTAATTGCGTACGCACAAGATTTAGTGTACTTCGGTTGGATAACTTGAAGAGAAAGCTAGTAGTCGCTCAACGTTTCCAAAATGTATCTGACTTCTCCTCTACAATTGCGTCATACGAGGTGCGATCGGAAAGTTTCAAGACTGTGTCAATAGAGGGTGAACCGGATGTAGTACGAGCTTTCTGCCGCTAGGGGGTGCGGCCTACATTCATAGTGAATCAGTGTGCCAGCCGGCATCATCGAATTAGCATTTGTTTCTTAGTTACGGGCGTTTTGGTAGTGCATTACACCGACCCTCCTGCGATTTCGAAATGGCGGATTTTCATGAACAAATCAAATTTTGCCGTAGAAAGATTTCCAGGGATGCTTCCAGGCTTGGCAGCGGCGCTGGGATCGTTGTGTTCACTACCAGGGGAACTACTTCGAGGGTGATGGATGAATTTAATACCTGAGATAAGTGTACGGGTTTTTATAGGCGCAGTCTTGAAACTTTCCGATCGCACCTCGCACGTTCTTCCTTCATTCTATGCGACATCTTTCCTAACCTGTCTCTTTTCGTTTTCTCTGCCCAGTACTCCAGCTTCTTTTAGATTTCTTATCGAAAAATTCGTTCAGAATTCTCTTTCATCTAATATGTTTTAAATGCGATTAACATTGAACTAAAATCTACAAAACCAATTAGGTTGTCTCGTAAGTGATAGATTCAAAACTGATTGACCGACAGTTTTCGAATACGTCCATGTTTCGTGTTCTTTAAACTTTGGCGTAATAAAAATAACACGTTATTGGCCAGTCCATGTCTGTCTCGCCGTCGCGTCTTTCATAACATTCTTACAACAATAAGCTAAGTTGCAACAATAATATTCGATATCATTTTTGCCTTCGATGCCACTGGATGGTATAATGACGTCATCGCCCGTAATGAGGCATAAAGAACGCCTACGAAGTTTTAGTGTACTCCAAAGAGTATGCCTTTCGAGTCTTGCTGAGATTAACTGCTACTTCTTCTGTCAAAATTCCTTCCAATAAATTAAGTCTAATGATAGAAAAGAATTTAAATGCAGCGTAACTAATAGATGGTTAAGACGTGTCCTACCTTGCAGCTGATGGATGGTCGCCTGGTATTCAGCCAGCTTCTCGTCGACGTAGTCCTGCGATTGGCTGGCGATGATGGCCGCTGTGGACAGCCCTGCTTGTGTGGCGTCCTCATACTCCAGAGGGGGACCTGGAGGTTCCAGGGGTACTCCAACGTACTCCGGCTCGGGATATGGCGAGTAGAAATATTCCGGCGATGGACAAATCACGGGCGTTGGACTCTGAGTAAATAAACGAAATGTGAATATATTTTCAAACACACGAGACAACATCGCATCAGAGGGCACTCGTCGATGTCGCTAACCTGTACAGGCGTGAGGCGGTAAGGACGCGGTCCTGGTGGGAGCGGTACTCCAGGTGGCAAGGGCGACGGCCATCGTGGCCGCGGACACGGAATGTACGGAGTTCCTGGCGCGGCCATTCGAGAAGGCAGTCTGGCAGGAGAAGGGCATCCGAACAAGGGAGACATAGAAGGCATTGCCATCGGAGGCACTGGAGAACCCGGGAGCCTTCGAGCCGACATGATCGGCGGCGGAGAGGGTGCGTATGGTGAAACAGGGAGGAAAGGCACCGGCGACGGGGAGGGTGGCATTCGACCCCAGCCCCCTCTGTGAGGGGGTTGTGGGGGTGGCTGCTGGCCAGACATTCTGCTACTACTGGTCCTGCCGCCCCACAACCGCGAAGTAAAGGTTGAGACGAGTCAACCCGCGCGTGTCGGCGGCTGTCAGGCAGACATTACTAGACCGCTAGTCCGCTCCCACTGCTGTCCTCCTGCTTAAACAAGAGAGTCGCTGCTCTTAGCAAGCGGTTTCTAGGCTGTACAGGACAACCAAAATTTTACCAGAAATTTCAATGGCAGAGCCCGAACACATAACAATATTCGCCTGAAGAAGGAATTCCATTCTATTATGGGGAAGAAATGAATTTCATATCTCCATAATTCATTTTACAAGATCAATTTTAAAACCATTCTACATCCAGGTCTCTGTAACAGTCCATACACGTGACGTGCTCCGAAAGTCGCGTTTGTAGTCGTGCTTCTTGTTCAGAAAGTTCCGTGTTTAAACCTCGGCGTAGATATAGTCTATCACGAAATTTTCGTGGTTTTCCTCGGTGCGTCCAAGAAAATGTCATTATAGTACCTCAAATTAGGCCACGACTGTTTTGCTAAATATCCTACTGTTTCATCATTCATTTAATTTTCCTATAATTCAATTATATGCATCGAGCTATTGAGAGCGCAGCCAAATAAACAAATAAATCAAATATGTTGCTGCTTTAATAAGAGTCGTAGATGACAGACATATATTACAGCATGCCACTGTCATGACGCATTACGACAGCAACCAGAGCGGGAAATTTCCATTACGCAAATGCAGCTTTCATTTCAAGCATTTAATTCTGTTTACTTTCTTGTGGTGTTCCTACGGAAAATCGGCGCTTCTTTGAGTCCAAATTTAACAGCATCGTCCTAGTTCTGAAATTCATTTTTAGATTGCTGGCTGAATAGGGATCCCGCAAAGAGCAGTGACACACTCGCCAGACTGCATACACGTACGTACAAGATGAGCGAATCCTTTCTTGTTAAAATGCAAGCCCTGGAGATTTTAATGTCCTCAAGTAACATTAGAGACGTGTCTAACCACCCTAGCCAATCAGAATAAAACAGAAAACGTCTTTAGTTGTTGTTCTTTTTATTATTATTTTTTATTTAAGTAATATTTTACGACATTCTGAGATCAATAATTCCCAGCGGTTTAGAATTTGAAATCAGTCACGTTTATATATATTAGGATGTTTTTTTTTTTAAGTTATTTCCTCGTTTCTCACTTATGCAGCCAAATACATAAATTGCAGACCGGATTATTGCCTGATCAGTTTTTAGCGCACTTTTAATTATTCATAAAATAAAACGGAATTTAAAGTATCGAAATTAAAAACAAGCCAATATCAGACATTACTTTACTATAGGCGGAGTGGAGATGTGAATGTGATTTGGTCATGTTACTTTAGCTACGTATCTTAATCACTTTACAGCAGGCACCATGATTTGTTAGCCAAAATTTCGTTTATGAAACCAGAGGAATTGAAAATGCCTTCAACGTAAACCATTTCAACAACATTATTAACGCTTTAAAGCCTAGTGGTAACTGTTCGTCCCGCCTGCTAAAGTAGGAACGTTATAATACATTTTAAAGTGTTTCGTATGTTTCTCAGAGCAAATAGGGATTATTTCCTTAAACATCATTAAACATTCAATCTTTTCAACGGTCAAGTGTTGTGTTTTCTTTGCGGTACGGACTGAATTCTTAAATATTATTTAGGCGAGACTCGGTTTGTCTGCCGGACCGCTGGCTAGTAGTCAGTGCGCATCCGGAAGGTCCTGCGACCGGCCATCTCGACACAGGTTTTCCTTGGTTTTCCTCTGTCTTCAAGCAAATGCTAAGATGGTTCCCAAGTTCCAAGTTGCCACTGCAAGCTTCTCATGCAGCCCTCCCGACTTAAATTAATCAAAATTTACCTCCCCTTAACGCCGTCAAAATTTACCCCCCCACCCCTCAGTAGGAACTTCTAAATTATGTACTAAACCTCCAAATCAATAGCCTCAGCTTTCTCTAATACAAAATCTCTCTCTCTCTCTCTCTCTCTCTCTCTCTCTCTCTCTCTCTCTCGGTTTTAAAGGATTGAGTTTGGAAGCCAAAAGCAGTGACTGCTGTTCCAAAATATGCGCAGAGGAATAACGAGGTATATTCTTAATAACATCCGAAATACAACGCATAATTAGTCGGCCCCAGCAACTTCAATCATAAAACATTAAGTAATCATCATAAACTTCATGGATTAGATTAAACTATTCCGACTCAAAGGTTTTTATTAAAAAAATTGTCTTTTTTTAATTTTACACTGTATTTCTCAGTCTCTTCTGGTCTTTCTCCATTAGAAATAATCGTTATTTACTTTAAAAATCATAAGGGACCCATAAAAACACCCTTTGGGCAAAGCGTGGAATTACTGAAAGTTAAAGTATTTTGAAAGGGTGGCACTCTGCTCTTTACAGGAAGCGTGAACTTTTTCGTGGTGTCTGCTCTGCTTCCTGGTGAACAGCTGTATTTGCAGTCAGGACCCGAAGTAGTACCACCGATAAAATTCAGAAATACATTCCGTCAACCTATACGTTGCTCTTCTATTTTTACCGCCCTGAGATTTGTCATTTGGCAAGACGGAGGGGATCTGTAGAAGTGGTTTTCGACTAGCTGTGCTAAAGGCTGTTTTCAACACGGGCTTGATTCACAAAAGCAAGCAACAAAGGTACGACCTTGAGGAAAATTAACTCTATAACTCTTGAAGATGGCTGTCTTCTGGGTTGTTGCGCCGTGTTGTCTGGTAGAGGTTTACCGACGTTTCACAGGTAGAGGCATCAAGCACCGCCGTGAAAACCTCAAATCCTACATCTATAACATTTATTTATTTCCTTAGTAAAAAGTATAATTTACTTACTTAAATTACTTTGTCCTAATAAAAAACCAAGACAAATAGGGAGTTATTAGATGTTAAAGCAGATGCCACAAATTCTTATTACTGTGTTTTTAAGGGTTAAATAAAACCAAATACATTTATTTTGTCCATAGAGTTCTTGACTTCACTGATATGGATTTAAATATACCTGGCTCATAGTCGCAACATTGATAAACAATGTTTCTTCAACGTGTAGGTTAACTGTACGGAATACAAACTGAGTTTATCATCCCTGTCCACTTTAACTAATATGTTCTAAGACCGGGGCGAGAAGCTCTTGAAACGTCAAACTGAAACAATATTGATTACACCCCCAAGCAGACGCCTCAGGGCGCCAGTAATAAAAGATACGATACGTAAAATTGCGTCTGTAGTCTATGTCCAAACGCGGCCAGCAACAAATAAACTGACGGCGGATTCGACAACATCTCAGAAACATCTTTATATGTGTTCGATTTCAAATAGAGATAAATGGTTGTAGAAAATGTACGACATTTGTGGATAACGATCAGACTGCGTAAGAATTTTCTCTTCTGTCGTTACTATCGAAGCATTTTTTAAATGGGTGACGACAAATCGCATGTTAAAACATGTTTCACAGTGGGCTAAAGGATTAAAAGCTGAGATCACTTCAACAGTGAACTCTTCAGGAATAGATTTAACTATTCTGAAAATAATGCTTGCCATTATCACAATATTCAACATTATAATTCTACCCATCACATTAATTTTGATCAGTACACGTAATTATCCTATTTATATAAAAAATAGCAATTAAAAGAGATTTTTAGCCACATCTTCTCCTCTTAAAACGTAAACTTTCCTCTGTGCTTCATCGCTATAAAAAGAATCTGTTGTTAACTCCCTACCCAACCCCCAAGCTGAAGAATAACCCCTTATCGGCGGTCCACCTGCGTATTTAATATATTTTCAGCTGCCGTTCACATCTGGAGACCGTCTTCTCCACTCTAAACCCGAGGACGAGTCTTACCGTATTATCACATTATTAATCATCCTGATATCCGCATTCGAAGATCAACCCATCGAATCATATCCTGAATTCAACGATAATTTATCATTTTATGAAGAAATAAAGCATCAAATAATGAACTTAAGTCTGTCTGAGCTGTTTAAGGACGCAAGTGACCCGCGAGCTGTGCATTGGTATCTACTCAGGAGTTAGGGGAAATTGTCCTCGACATGAAAAAGATAACCCGCTGGAACATTTTCAGTAGTGTAAAATAAATAAATAAACAAACTAAACGTTCAATTTTGTAAACTAGGAATTTAAAAATATTCACAACAAATTTATATTTTATATCAACAAAGATCAGATATAATTTTCACAACTTCTTACATAAAATAATATTCAAGGACGTGTATACATGTGTAAAATAGAATGACCTAATTGAGTCGATTTGCAGTCAGGACCCGAAGTAGTACCACCGATAAAATTCAGAAATACATTCCGTCAACCTATACGTTGCTCTTCTATTTTTACCGCCCTGAGATTTGTCATTTGGCAAGACGGAGGGGATCTGTAGAAGTGGTTTTCGACTAGCTGTGCTAAAGGCTGTTTTCAACACGGGCTTGATTCACAAAAGCAAGCAACAAAGGTACGACCTTGAGGAAAATTAACTCTATAACTCTTGAAGATGGCTGTCTTCTGGGTTGTTGCGCCGTGTTGTCTGGTAGAGGTTTACCGACGTTTCACAGGTAGAGGCATCAAGCACCGCCGTGAAAACCTCAAATCCTACATCTATAACATTTATTTATTTCCTTAGTAAAAAGTATAATTTACTTACTTAAATTACTTTGTCCTAATAAAAAACCAAGACAAATAGGGAGTTATTAGATGTTAAAGCAGATGCCACAAATTCTTATTACTGTGTTTTTAAGGGTTAAATAAAACCAAATACATTTATTTTGTCCATAGAGTTCTTGACTTCACTGATATGGATTTAAATATACCTGGCTCATAGTCGCAACATTGATAAACAATGTTTCTTCAACGTGTAGGTTAACTGTACGGAATACAAACTGAGTTTATCATCCCTGTCCACTTTAACTAATATGTTCTAAGACCGGGGCGAGAAGCTCTTGAAACGTCAAACTGAAACAATATTGATTACACCCCCAAGCAGACGCCTCAGGGCGCCAGTAATAAAAGATACGATACGTAAAATTGCGTCTGTAGTCTATGTCCAAACGCGGCCAGCAACAAATAAACTGACGGCGGATTCGACAACATCTCAGAAACATCTTTATATGTGTTCGATTTCAAATAGAGATAAATGGTTGTAGAAAATGTACGACATTTGTGGATAACGATCAGACTGCGTAAGAATTTTCTCTTCTGTCGTTACTATCGAAGCATTTTTTAAATGGGTGACGACAAATCGCATGTTAAAACATGTTTCACAGTGGGCTAAAGGATTAAAAGCTGAGATCACTTCAACAGTGAACTCTTCAGGAATAGATTTAACTATTCTGAAAATAATGCTTGCCATTATCACAATATTCAACATTATAATTCTACCCATCACATTAATTTTGATCAGTACACGTAATTATCCTATTTATATAAAAAATAGCAATTAAAAGAGATTTTTAGCCACATCTTCTCCTCTTAAAACGTAAACTTTCCTCTGTGCTTCATCGCTATAAAAAGAATCTGTTGTTAACTCCCTACCCAACCCCCAAGCTGAAGAATAACCCCTTATCGGCGGTCCACCTGCGTATTTAATATATTTTCAGCTGCCGTTCACATCTGGAGACCGTCTTCTCCACTCTAAACCCGAGGACGAGTCTTACCGTATTATCACATTATTAATCATCCTGATATCCGCATTCGAAGATCAACCCATCGAATCATATCCTGAATTCAACGATAATTTATCATTTTATGAAGAAATAAAGCATCAAATAATGAACTTAAGTCTGTCTGAGCTGTTTAAGGACGCAAGTGACCCGCGAGCTGTGCATTGGTATCTACTCAGGAGTTAGGGGAAATTGTCCTCGACATGAAAAAGATAACCCGCTGGAACATTTTCAGTAGTGTAAAATAAATAAATAAACAAACTAAACGTTCAATTTTGTAAACTAGGAATTTAAAAATATTCACAACAAATTTATATTTTATATCAACAAAGATCAGATATAATTTTCACAACTTCTTACATAAAATAATATTCAAGGACGTGTATACATGTGTAAAATAGAATGACCTAATTGAGTCGATAATACGATTCTCAGTCTCATCCATTTAATTTCACTTAGAAAGGTGGGTTAGGGAGAAACAATAATGTGACTTGGAACCATGTGAACTCTTTAGCTTGAACACCTGCCAATCATATACAACCTTTTCCTAGACGCTATGGATTATATGATGTCAAAAATCCCGTTTGGTGAGAGGAGCTATTTAAGCGCATGGCGTTAACTGGGGCACTTCTAACGCAGTTCAACAACATAGGCCTACAACAGTAAAACAGGGGCGTGTCAGACGGTAAATCATAGATATGCATGTGCATCTGTAAACAGCCTAATTTAACATAATGTGCTGCCTTTCAACAACTTTCTTAAATTTAAATCACACCTAGAAACCACTGTCTTAAACTCAAGTTCACTTTCCTGTTGCACGTCCGATGCAATATGGAACACGTTTGGTGGCAGCGTACAATCTGGAGAGACAGAATAGCTGGTTAATACGGGCTACTACTTACCTAAGTCTAGTGATGGGTAAGTGATGTGAATCCCACAAAGGCTAAAAGAAAACTGCGGATGAGTAGTAGAATATGGGAGGTGGTTGGGAGTCTAGACCACGCACAGCCAACTTCTACTGGGAGCTTCTATATTTAGATATTGGCATCGCATACTGTCTGTCTTCATCTCCAGATTCTACCCCTGTCCCTTCTGCTAAAGGGTCTGCATGGCCAAATGAACAGGGATCACGAATCCCAAGAATTTCATACGAGAGTTGATTTTGTTCGTCCACCATCCCCCACGGATCAAAGTCTAATCCGGAGAAACCTACCGTGCCATCTGTGAACAAGAAACTTAAACCTAAATTCTGTATTTTTTTAGAAAAACTTTGGGCCATGCTCTATTATAAATGCGTACATATACTTTTTGATATGTAACTTACAACTTGTATCAATGTGTCTAAACTTTTGTTAATTACAAGTTGATATGTTCCTTGTTGTTTGTGCAGCATTCAAAATGGAAACTAATACGGCGTTATTACGGAACTTACAACACGATGAAGATTAAGTTATTAAAAGACTTACATTAGACTGAAGTTGAAGATGACACGTTCCTCTGATATGTTGGTAAGCATTTACAGGGCAATACGGAGTCACAATCTAGAAACCCGCGACCGAAATCACGCTCGTGAGAATATTATAAATTAAAATAGCGCGGCCATAATAGCATGGTTGCAGGGTCACCATCCTTGTTTGTGCAAAAAGCTGGTGTTGGTAATGCTGTCACAGGCTTCTAATGTGCGATTCATTTTATTTCTTTTTACTGCAAAACTTCTGTCTACGAAGATGGCGTATGAGTTTCCTGATGGAAATGGATATTTACAAAACTCAGCTGGTGGATCAGTACCTGCCGTTAACAGGAAATATAAAAAGAAGTGTAAAAGAACACTCAGTGACTTAGTTTTTGTAAGTACTAGTGTGTTCGGCTTTCAACAATTACATTCATTAAATTATAATCGTTTTTTGTTAAAAGGTGCAAATGACCACAAGACTGAGTTACTTTTTATCATTTTCCACTATGTAATATTTTATATCGGTAGTAGGGTAATAAAAGTGGTACTGTAACGAAAACCATATATAATTTTCAGTAAAGTAGTAGACATTTTCATTTATTAAAGTACTCTAGCAAATTCTTGGTGATTGACACTTATCAAGTGTGATGCACGTCTCCATAGGAAACAGCAGCTCTTTGTGACGAAGTTTTTCTGATGAAAAAAAAGATACTCATTGTGAAGGAAGAAACGATGTTTTATCGCGAGAAACTACATGATCTTCAGGATATTGCAGGTACAGTAACCAAGCCCAGTTAATCCTCTTCAGTCAAATATATCAAGCAGAGGTCAATTTGCTAATCTGTAATTGGGTTTACAAATGGTTGATATTATACACATAATTTATTTTCATTACTGAAACACCTTCTATGCACAGAATTGTAATTTATTTTACATACCATAGATACTTCACAGGAATAATCTTATGATAATATTGCTTGTAATACACACACAATACAAATATAAATATATTCTATTCTGTGTATATGTGGTTAAGTTGACAAGTGTGATATATTAAATGGGTAATGAACGTATTTTTTGTGTAGTGTAATTTTAACTGTTTGTAAATGTACTGTATAATTGTTAATTAATTATTAAGAGTGTACACAAGTCTATAAATTAGTATATTGTAGCATATTTTGTTCTAGGGATATGTTTGTTTCTTTCACAGAAAGCCACAAAATTAAGCCAATTCCTCTTGATATAACTGGTCGTCCTGTTTTCCCGATTGCGCTCGGAGGATTAACGGTACATAGCCTGGGAGAGGTGAGAACAAGATTTTATTTTGAATCATCTTACAATAAACATACTGCATAATACCAGTTTAGTTAAGTTGTCAAAAGGTAATATGGTTAG